AGGAAGAAAGACAGTGTTAACATCGAAAGTAACAAAGTAAGAATCGTTCACTGCGACGAAACGAGCGTAGGTACGACAGATCTAGACCAATGTAGACCGAGGATCGAGATCAAACGGTGTGACAGGTGCGGGACGATTGCTCTGATCGGTATATACTAAATATCACGATATCACACAGAGAGATGTAACAATTGGTCTCGAACGTAGAATCGCGGTACGATTATTGTCACCAGGCAAGGGACCGGCCCAGGGTTAATTGGCCAATCGTCGATGTTGATTTTTATCTCGTTCCCTTTTCCCGATCAAACTGGCACAGTAGGATCGCTAAACACGTACTGGAAACGTACACTCGAAATGGTTTGAGGGGTCGATGGAGCCCGCGCAGGCCAGGATGCTCCACATGCGCACCCGACGACCTCTTCTCATCTCTTCTCTTCTTTCGTAACGAGAGGGTAAATAAAAGGACGTACGCGATTCCGACCCGAACGAAACGACAACAAATTTTCTCTTTCTCGATACGTTCTGCGTTCTGTGTGTTGGTGATCGATGGATGATTTTTAATAAAAATGGAGGGCTGGATCGATTTGTCAATGATGGGATAATTAACCGTATCGTTTACGAGATATTTCACTCGCGAATCTCTTCGAAAGGAAATTTTCATTTTTGAAGATTTTACTTATTAACTTCCTCGTACTCGTTGAATCATTTCAATGTAAGAACCTCTGTTAAATTTTTAACTCGGGAACGTAGATTTAAAATTATTTGGAAAGTGAATCTTGATTAAAATATCGGAGCAATCGACGATTACCGGTGAACGAGAGGATTAAAATACGATGTCGGAAGATCGATGAAATTATTGAGACTATTGGCTCAGAAATAAACAAGCTATCCAAAAAAAAAAAAAAAATTTATGTGGAAATATTGAAATATTAATACAAAGTATGTAATATGTGTAAAAAGTATCACAAAAGTGAAAAAAAAACATCTGCAGAATAATTACAATTTTCGATGTTAAAATATACTAAAGACACTAAAGACACTCGATCAATTGAGAAAAAAAAAGAAATCATTTCTCTCTATTTTAAATGTTCGTCGACCTAAATATTCATCCCCCAGCGACATCTTAGCTATTTTATTTCACTGCATGGTATTCATCAATGGATTAATAAAAATACTATGTAACACGTGTTTATGACACAACTGCAATCATCGATATCGAGGATATATTTATAAAAATCAATTGAAGCCAGTTTACATAAATTGTGACGATGTTGTTAAAGTTCGTAGGAGAGAAGATACGGCGGTTTTATTAACTTTCTCCATCCATGATTAGAGTTGCAACGTATCGCGCACGAAAATTATTTTAAAATTTCGATTTAGAATAAGATCTCAAGAATACTGAAATATCTAAATTTAAGGAAATTGAAATTGAACATTAAATTCAGAAATATTACATTACACGAACATTACAATCACACACAGTGTGTATACATAAAAAAAAAAGTCCAATTATAATTTAGTAACGACCATGCAGTTGT